GAGCCAGGAAGAGGAAGCAACTTCAAAGGCAGGGCAACACAGACACACACAGGCAGAGAAGCTTGATTGGAACAGGGGGGTAGTGTCTAAAATGTAGCAGTCTCTTGGAAACAAAGGAAGACATAAGTGTCTATGTAGGAATTAAGACAGGGTAGGTATTCCTCCCTTTTTAGGGTGCTGTCCGCAACCACTGGAGCAGAGAGGATGATTGGAGGATGGACGGATTGAAGGACCAATCTTGGGAGAATTAAGTTTAAACCACAATTGCTCCCCAACAGTTTTGGACCAATCAGATAGTAACATTATTTATATAAATGTTGTATACCGCCAAGTTGAAGTTAGTCTTTTCTGTTTATCCTAAACAGTCAAGAACCATGTGCACATGCTAATTTTGATACGTTAATGCATAATAAATTTCACACTGTGAAATATCTTTATATTTAGTCTTTTCTTTTCAATTTACAAGAACACGTTTCAACACTTCCTCCACTCGAGATGGGAGGCAAGCATTCAGAGGAATGCCAGGAATGCTGGCCGAGAGTCAGAAACGGTGAGACGCATGGCCCCAGGTGCACTCACACCTTCAGCAGCCAGACGGAGGCCTAGGGCTCAGTGGGAAGCGGTTTGAGCCTACAGCCATGTAGAAACTACAGGCAGACCACAGGCAGAGGAAGCATGTGTCAGTGTATGGGATCTTATCATTCAGTAATCATATAGGAAAAAATGTATTTTCTCTTTGCAGTTAAATTTTTTTTTACTAATTTCTGAGACTTTCTTTTATCTTTTAGACTTTTCTGAGGTTTTTGTTTTTTTATTTAACCCTAACGTTATTTTTGCTATTTCATGTAAAGTTGATACTTTTACCTCAATAGGTCTAAAAAAAAAATCCTCTCAAATGAAAAGAAAGACCATTTGTCCATTTGAGCTTCAATGAGCAGATGCTGGAGCTGATGGTAAGAACTAAGAAGGGTGGTTAGTAAAACCTGGGCTTTTGCTGCTGCCCTGCCAGGTGGAGACACTTTGGTGGTGTCATGTCAGAGAAATGTGGAAAGTGTTGACATGTGAAACCAAGTGAGACTCGACACAGGTCCAGACACGAGACCCAGCTCACTGGTCCTGTTCAGAGAACCTGTTGGGAGGGAAACTCAGGTGTCAGCAGGTGTTATCTTTTCAGACCAGAAAACAAAGCACCATTCAAAGTTTTGTCCCAGTTAGACAAGCGTTATTCCCAATGAGCAATGAGGTCAGAGGTCCCAGTTCAATCTTTACAGTCAGAACATACCAGCTTGTTCCATGAATGCTCCAGGGAATTGGTATCCCACAATGCATTGCATTCATTTGAATGTACCACGACTGGAAGCCAGTGAGTCACTCTAAGGTCGGTGTCACTAACGGCTGCTAGAAGATTCAACTTCCAGAAGCACTTGGTCAGTCGTTCCTTCCAGGAGACATCATGGTCTCAGTCTCAACTCAGATCCTCTAATAAATGTCCTGGTGGTCATTTAGGACGTTATTGTTCAGGCTTATAGACGCTATGATGACTGACAGGTGGCCACCTGCTGCTCTCTCCAGGTGAGTCAGTCTTTCACAGCTTCTGTTTCCATCACTAGCGTTCATTTTCAAGACAAACAGTTCCAGTGTGGCTGTGGTTAAGGACCAACTCCATAAGACCCTCACTTACACTGGCTAGCTTTGTCCTCCAGACTCAATGAGGGGGGTCACTGCCGGGGGATGAGCCGGACTAGACTTCCTAAAAACAACTCCTGACTCTTTGCTGCTCTGCTCATGTTATTGCTATTGTGCTCGTCCAGCTGATTGACTCCCCTGAACGATTGTGTGACAACAGCCAGCTGGAATGTGTCCAGATAAACCCAGGACCCTCCTCCACCCTGCTCGGGTTTGTCTCAGTGAATCAAGGTCCTTGTGTTACTGGTGATAACAGAGGAACCACTGCTGTGTCAAACTGTGATGACTCGAGTTTCTCCCCTTGATAACAAAAATACTCCTCCATACTGAATAACGGCTGTTATCTGGAGACACGGTGATGACGACAAGGCTATTTTCAAACACAGACACTGTAGAAATGTGGGTTTTTTGGTGCATGACACAAAACAAAAGTGAGTCCACCATGAAACATACCTAAAAATGTCTTTTCACTGTCACCTTCACTTGTCAAAATCCTTGTCTGTCTCCCGGTTTCTGGCATTTCAGTTTGACTCAGCAAAATGTCGCTTTGCACAGTTGTTTTGTTGTTGAGCTGTTGAAAGAGAGGAGCAGCTGCAAGTATTGATGTGGTTATCTTCATTTATCAGCTCGCCATCAGAGCAGAATTAAAAATGCTACAGCGGCAAGTTTGGGTGGAGCCTTCACCTGCAGTTCACAGGGCAGGTGCCCTGTTGATAGAGAGTCAGTTTCAATCAGTAGAAAACCTGTTTCCTCTCTGTCTTCTGTGGTTTCTATCTATCCAGAGGGTTTGATTTGTCCATGTTTCTGCTGCCTGACATTCTCAGAATTCAGCTTTAAAGTGGCAGTTTATTGTGAGGAATGATATTTTACCTAAAGCTGAAGGAGTTCAAGCTGTTTTTGTTGCACAGTAGTAAAAAGTGAATCACGGACCATAAATACAACACATATCAAAGTGCAGTAAAAAGGTTTTCTCCAGTTTGTTTGTGGGGACCTGAGCGTTTCCTGTTGTTGAGAGTTTAGTTATAAGGCTGGGTGAGAGGAAGAGGAGGAGGAGGAGTAAACATGATACAATGAACGGGTGATGCTGACAGTGTCTGTGGAGGACGGACCTGCGTTCACAGCCACGTTTGGCAAAGTTTACGTCTGTGAGTCAGAGCAGTAAATGTTTGGATGGTGAGATGCAGCTGCTCCGGAGGCTGCTGCTGCCCAGGGTCCCTGTCGGGTGTCGCAGTCGTCCTGTAGTCGTCCTGCAGCCGTCCTGCCATCTCCTGCAGTCTTCCTATAGTCATTCTGCCATCTCCTGCAGTCTTCCTATAGTCATTCTGCCATCTCCTGCAGTCTTCCTGTAGTCATTCTGCCATCTCCTGTGCTTCTCACTCACTCTGTGTCTCAGTGCCATGTTGTCTTGGCTGTGTGGCTGACCTCATCAGGTTTTCACAGCTAGCATGTTAGCAAACTCCAGAGAACTTGAGCGGGGGGCATGACACACAACAGAGGTCCCAGGCTGACATGAAAACGGGCCATGCTAGTTAAACCACTAGGCCACAAGGTCTGGTTTTAGCACAGAGAGCGGAGGACTGTAACACTTTAATGTAAGCTGGGAGAATGAGTGAAACTGCAATAGGTACTCACATAACCTTAGGGTAAAAACCTGTAAACAACACAACTGCAGTTTGGTTTTACCTTATGTTTTGTCATTGTGTTTGAAAATCCTTCTATTGCAGGAGAGGCAGAATGACATTTTTTCAGACAAACGGCTAAGCTGTCAGGCTGAAATACTGACAAGACAGTGGTTTCTCAGTAAATGTGTCTGGGCTGCTAATATACAAAGAAAGAAACACAAACTTCTAAATGTGATCATGTGTGTTGTCACGGTGACTTTGGACTCGAGTGGCGAGAAAAAGCTTCTCAGCTTCACCGTGGAGAAACATGAGCCTGTGAGTAATGCTGGGCTTTTATTGTCTTATCAGCACCGACTTCACTTCCTTCACTTCCTTTATGTGATGACCAGAGACAGCTCATAGAGACCCTGCAGAGCCCAGGGTCAAAAGATTATGTGCATGCTGAGTTTAGCATGCACGTGGTGATCCTCTGATTTTTCATCAGTTCCAACATTTTAATTTGTCCGCTGCTTTGGTTTAAGACCTGGAACCAGCAAAACTAGTCACATTCCCATCAGCTGGACTTTGGGTTTCATGCTAATCAGCAGATGTTACTTGTCTTTGTCCTGGCTATACAGCAGCTGAACTGTTATTTTTCAAACTTTACACTCATTGTAATGTCTGTGTGTGTGTTCCTTCTAATTGCCATCTTTGTGTCAGTGTACACTTTATGTCATCAGATACACAAACACACACAGGGGGAGACCCTTGTTGATGATGAATGAATGAGAAGAAATGATGAAACAGTGAATTAAAGAAGAAGAAGGAAAATGGAGAAATGGGTCCCTCTGCTGACAGAACAACAAGGAAATGAGAGGAGAGAGGAAGGAACTGTAAACATCTAACATCCGGGTCTAATCGGGACCAGGAACCAGAACAGGGTGAAACAAGAGCCTGAATTAGAACGAGAGGGATACAACTCTGCAGACAACCTGATCAAGGCCTGAAATGAACCAAGAGCTCAGGACTTCACCGTGTGTCTCTGCTGGTGTCTCTGTGTGCCTCTGCTGCCCCCTGCTGGCCGACACACGCTCTCACACCGCAGGCCGGGCAGCACAGTAACCGAGTACTTTTACTCAAGTACTGTCATGTGACACTACTTCTTTCCACGGTTTAGTCCGCGGTTTCTTTACAGATGAGAAAAGATAATGTTTTGTTTTAAATGAAACTGTTTGGTCATATGAAGATGAAAACATGATTAGTTGATTTCTAAAAGTGTTTTATTCATTTTTAAATAATTAGTTAAGTCGTTTTCATAATAAACAGTAACACCAAATATATGAAATATTTGGTGTTTGGTCTCTGTCTGACCAGAAATAGTAAAAATGTTAGGTCTTTATTTTATTTTAATTCTTTTGAGTTTTGGGCTGTTGAGTAGACAAGCGTCACTGTGGGCATTTTAATTTACACCTTTATCTGTTAAATAACTCCAGAGTTGAGTCAAGAAAGACAAAGGTCCTTTAAAATACTGCACCTCTGTCCTGTCACTTTGTAAAGATTAGTGCCTTTAGTCGGTTTGCTTCTTTCCGTCCATGTAGAAACCCCACAGTAAGACGTTCATGCATAACGGTCCGTTATGTTGTCCTTTGTTTGCCACAGATGTGGGACAAACCAGTTGGAGACCTGCCGCGTTCCCGTGTGCGCGCAGCTGCTATTAGAGGAAGCTTGGAAGTAAAAGAGGTGGAAACAGGAAAAAGTCTCCTGTGCCCTCTGTAGTTCCCTTCGTAGGGTTCTTGTTCAGATTTCCTCCCAGTTCTCACAGGGGCCCTGTGTTGCCTTCCTCCTCCTCTTCCTCCTCCTCCTCGGAAGCGGGATGTGATGTAAAAACACAGCAACTTTTTTTGCTCCTGTGTCGTTGGAGAGAGCAGAAGTCCTTCTTCCGATACTCAGTTGAGGCCGAAGCCGTAAAAGAAGTGAAGGCAGCTCCACGGGGACGCAGCGCACAGATCCAGTGGTTCGTCTCCTCCACCATGCGCCTCTGAGCCGCTCCGTCTGCCTCCGACACCAAAGTCCAGAGCTGCCGGACCGGACTGCGAGGAAAACGCGTCATCCCGAGAGGAGCTCGCTGCTGTTGTGGATCCGGAGGGAACCTGCGGACAGGTAAAGCTCTGACCGTGTGTAGCTGTGTGTTTGAACAAAGTGAGAGGAAAGTGAGGGAGAGTCGGTCCGTTGGAAACGGAGCCGAGCTCAGGGCTGGAGCTGCACACTGAGGCCTACACGGAGACCCGAGGTCGGAGGAGACGCACGGTCTGAGACAGTCCTCCTGACAGCTGTAGTCATAAATAACCGTCTGCTTGAAATCATAACATCTTATACAGCAGCACCAAAGGAGCTGTAAGAAAGTGTGGACACTACAAATCTCACTGGGCATTGCCAGTGGTGGACAGGGTAAGAAGTAGTACTGCTAAATTCAGCACAGGACATCTGAGACATACTGAATATGTCTCATAATAACGGACATTAAAGGCACAAAGTAGAGCAGGAATAGTGTCCAATGTAGTAGAAAACATGTTGCATCGGGCTCTATAATGTACAAATGGAAGAAAGATGGGAGGTGTAAAGGGTGGGGTGTGATGGAGCCCAAGGAAGAAGAATATGTTAACATGCCACAACTGATCAACTGTAGGTAGGACAGGACAACTGGTGTGACCTATGGTGCCCAGTGGCTCCCTGCACTGGAACAGTGTACGTTAAGGAGGTGGTGTTACAATGTGTGCAGTTACAGGACAGGAACCAGGTGCTCTGAAGATAAATGTTGAGATTCTAATCACAACCACCACCATAAACATCATCAGTCTGACAGTGGCCATGAACAGAGATCTGTCAATAATCAATAATGTGTCTATCAACAAGAGAAAAACTTTACATTTTTCAAATCTTGCGCAAAGGAGCAACATCCTTTTAAAATTTAACCTGTCAATTATTATCTATTTAGTCAGTAAAGTAAGAAGAAGTACGCAGTACAAGATCAAGTCACTTCAGCCATTGTATTTTTACACTTGTATCAGCTGTGGTTGCCATGGTGACACCCCCACCTCCATCTCTCTGGCTTATCACACAGGACAACGTGCACAGAATGTCCTGTGATCATAGTGATGCTGTTTGTGTTCAGATCAGAGCAGTTAGTGCGCAGTTGTACACGGTGGGAGGGCGGCCGACACCAGTAACAGCAGGGTCAATGTTAGATCCCAAGACCTGGCAGTAGGGCTTATCGTTATACTCAGGGTGGAGTCAGGGTAGGCATTATGGGACACGACTGGTAAACCTAGTTTCAGGTTAAATCATAGGAAACACCCAACTACTGGTAAACAGACTTCATCGCCCCTGAAGCTGCTCCTCAGTCTTGGGATCTAACATTGGTGGTAACAGAAGTGACCAGACGGCTCAGTCTGCAGTGAGCTGTCAGCAGATGGAGGAGGACGAGTGGAAGTGAGGTCTGGACAGCTTCACTGTGAACTGGAAAGCTACAGCAGCTACAGCGCCATGGCAGCAGGTCCGACTGTGTGCACGTTGAGCTGGCTGTCACTTTCGGACTCTGTATGATATGATGATTCTGGCTCCACCAGCAGGTCATGACCTTCTCTGTTGCTCAGCAGAAGCCGTCACTCAGGTGTTAAACCCTTCCTCCACGTTTCACGTTGTGTTTGTAGCCGGTTTGACCCGTTCGTAGATTCGTCTCTCTGCTCCCTCAGAGCCTGAGCCACCAGGGGTCCGTGGTCTCCTGTGGGTGACAGTAAGCTGTGTGCGTTGCTGACCTCCTGTGAAGTGTACCAGGGATCATGTTTGGCTTATTTTCATGCTCCCAGCTCAGCAGACTCCGTTTACAGGAAAAATCGGCCTCCTGAGTCAGCGCTTCTCTGTCTGTGCTCTCTCTTATCGGACTCGCCGGTCGACCGTCAGTGCTGGCTCTGTGCCATCTGCGTGTTGTCTGTGTACATGGTGTGTCCTGTCTGCAGATAACTGGGAACAGTGTTAATGATTCTGAACGTTACAGGAGCAGTGTTTCCTCAGGGTACCGAGTCACCAATGGCGGATCAGTGCCAGCCCCCTGCAGGTAAACTATTACAGCTCTGTGTGCGACATGAAGTGCTCTGTCCTCTGAACAGTGTGAGAGCTGCAGAGTCCCAGTGACTTCACAGCAGAAGCTCAGTGTTTGGCTCAGACTGCGAGAGCTGGCAGTTCTGTCACGCACTGAACAAACCCAGAGGAAAGCAATGGACGGCATGTTGTGTCATGCTGCTGCTGCCACTTGGCGAGCAGGGATGGTTCAGAGAGGTGAATATTAACAGCTTTGTCTTTTCACCCTCTGCTCACTGGACTGATGACAAGCAGCGTGTGACCTGCTGCTGTCAGCTTTATGGTTCTTCACACATGATGTCCAGCCAGTCCACGTGTCATCACCCCATTCAATGACCATTATCAGTTGTTATCATGCCTATAATTATGCTTCAGTAGTGACAAACTGCAGCTGCCAGAAGGTGCATATCATCGATACCTGTCCTCTGGCTGCTTTAGCCCAAATCGTGATCTGTCCCTGACCCAGCAGCAATTGTGCCGAACCGGGTCTCTGTGAAGACAAAGGTCCAACACCCCACTCCACCGGAGGTGGAGTAGGCCCTGTTAACCCACATCTGTGCTCCTGGTGACAGGCTCCTCAGGGCCATTTAATGGGGTGATGACGTTCAGAGCTGGTGGGAGGTCTGTTGTTGTGAAGAAAACAAACAGGCAGCTTTACCTCCATCTGTGTTTGTCAGCTGAGGTTTGTCCCCTGAGGGGGAAGAAAAGCCTCTGAGCCGGAGTCTTGTAAACAGAATTTCCTTTTCAGCTTCAAGCTCTAAAACATGAGTTTATTCTAGTTCTGTCTGTGTTTTTGTTTGGTAACAGGGACAATTTGAAAAGGGACAATTGCCCTAAAATGGGCCGCACTGCGGTGGCTCTCTGAGCTGTCCTCCCTTACAGGAAGTCATAACGCACTCCTCAGAACCTAAGCCTTCATACTGACGCTTTGGTCTACATGTGATTTTCAGAGGTCGAAGATAAAGGCCTCACAGACACGTGGTGCTGCAGCCTCTGGACTCTCAGAGAAAAGGACTGGAAGTTAATGAAACCGCCTCAGCTGTGTTTAGGACTCTCAGCATGAGTGAGCTGTCTAGTCAGAGATGGTCTGCCCTGTCACGATATCACCAGTACGCACTGCCTTAGATCCAGGTTTGCTCTAAAATCTCTGAAGCTCCAACTGGAGCTGATACAGTGCTCAGTGTGTGAGATCTAACCAGAGACGGGACCGCGTTACAGACAGGACAACATGAAAACACCTCCTCCTCCTCTTCCTCCCTGCTAAATCCTGCAGGCTTAGACAAACATTTCCAAAGACATTTGCCCCTAAGTCACTATATAAAGTCTCTGACCCTCTTATCAGACTCTGTGGTGCCTTTGATATAAAAACCCGTTGAGTTGCTGTAAAACACAAACAGGAAGCTGTCCGAGTGCAGACAGTGGCTGGAATGGCAGCGCGTTACAGATCAGTGCCAGTGAGCGAGCGTCGAGTCTCCTGCTGCAGCCGGCGGCTTGTTAAACCTTTAAGAAACCACACAAAGGATGTGTTGGAGACAGAAGACTGAACACACTGCTGCTGAACTTTACTGTGACCACGTGTAGTGGGAACCAGTACAACTTCTTGCACGGGCTCAGTGCTTGGATATTTAAGCCACTGTCAGGTCATTAGTGTTTGGTTCAGGGGCATCTTGGCAGAGTCAGACGTCAGAGTTTAGCTCTCGTTATTGTCATCTGTCCTGAAATGTCACAGTGACGTCGGCAAGAAACTTCTGTGCTGCCATGTTAAAAGTGACTCTGGGCGTACATCTTAATTCTAATCGTGTATCTATATTTTCTCACACCCCTAGTACTCTGGCTGTGTGTGTGTCTGTGTGTGTGTGTGTGTGTGTGTGTGTGTGTGTGTGTGTGTGTGCAGGGATGTCTAGATAGGAAGTCTTCTTTATTAAACTACACACGTGTGTTTTAAAGGTTCGTCTGACTCACTACCCATTGGTCAGTTGCCAGTCACATGACATCATCCATCCATCCATCCATCTTCATCTGAGACTGGGTCACAGGGGCAGTAGTCTGAGCAGAGCCTCCCAGACTTCCCTCTCCCCACACAAGATTTTGTGTTACTCGCTGGAAAACCCACAATATATAGAAAAGACAAAGTTAATAGATGACCGACATCGTCAAACACGTTGCTCACAAGTGTGTGTGTGTAATGAAGAAGATTTCACATCTGCATGTCCGTGATGGAGTCTTCTGTTTGCAGCGTCCAGCTGGATGGATGAGCAGTCTGTACAAAGGCGTGTGCACTGTGGTGTCTTGTGTCTGAGTCCAGCAGCAGATTATTGAGTGACACGTTCAGTGTCAGAGCAGCTACTGGAAAAAAGTCTCATGCTTTTAGAAGAGCAAAAACTAAATCCTTCACAAGAAGATGTAAATAAGGGTGAAAAGGTTTAAAAGCACACAGTGTTAATGCCAGTGTCTTCAGTATATCGAGATGCTCTGTAAATCCTAAAACTGGGTTAAATCATCCCATGTTCAGGTGTGTTTCATTGCGTTCGCCTTGGCTGCAGTGTTGTTCTGCACATGTTAAATCAGGAGTGTCTCTCATTCTTCACATGCTCTCAGCTCTTTGTCGGGCAGCCATCTGCCAGTTCAGACCACCACCTGCTCCACATGTGCACATCCTGCTGTGCATTTCTGGTGCTTTACACCAAGTGCTGCAGGAGCAAAGGCTGAAACTGGCAGCTTCAGTGTAAACACCAACCTGAAGCCGAACCCTGAGCCGACGGGGGCGTAACCAGGTGGAGGATTCACCTCCCCAGCAGTGGACTCCACCAGTTGTACAGGTCAGAATGTCTCGGCCTGTGATGTCAAGCTGTTTAATATCCCCTGTAGCTGTTTAGCTGTAACTGAGCAAAGCTGTGACCTAGAAATAACTAGGTCATTGTTTATGGCCCCAGATGCATCGACATGCATGGAGAACACACCGTGGACAGCTGAACAACTCATTACTCCTACAAGCGCAGCGGACGGTGAAGGTTTTATGGAGC